AGGAGCCATTTTACATCACCTATATCGTCTCTAAGTCTGGCAGACCAGTGTACTACTCATGCCATTTTTATGCCATTGGAAGTTTCACTTTCAGTTTTTATGGCGTTTTGGATTGTCTCCTCCGACTCCGTCCACTTACCTTAATCCTCGAAAGGACACTATGATTCAGTGCTTGAAAACTTGCAACAAAGGGATCCTCCAACTATACTGGCGTAGTTGGTTCTTCTAGATGGTCATTTGCAGAAGTTTTGGCTCAGTTAGTATCTTACTTACTGCTTTTGCGGTGTTTTAGAAGTCGCTAAGTTTTTTCTTTGACGCTCAAAACCCGCTCACACCACATTATTTGGTAGACTGTGAGATCAGGTATTAGAATACGCACCAAATGATTAGAAAGTCGTGATTTGGAGAGTAGTTGAGTAGGAGATGGGATTGGTCTTCCCACTGACCAATCATTAATTACAGAATCTTTTCGGGTCAATCTCTCAATCCCCTTATATTCTGGGCTTCTAATATACTATGGACTCGAACATTTGGTGCGCACTATCTGCGAAGCGCATTGAGCAACGCGTAGCGTCCACGCGCCAAGCAAGAACAATGCGCTCCCCAGCGGAGCCGCGACGCAGCCGCCGAACGAACGCAAATGTTCACATTGGCGTTTAAGTTCTTCTCAACAATAGCAGTGCAGTTCTTTGGTAGGAGCTGTCAGTGAACGAATGCTTGGAGCTTCACCAATTCTGAAAGTTACCTCTCAGGTTGCAGTGCTGGAATCGGCGCTGGAATCCTCGGATTCTACGCGTCTGGGCCACTGGCGCTTCCGACTGCAGTTTACGTGAGGAACCCACTTCTGATTACCACCAACAAAGTAGTCGGGTCAAACAAGAGACAGACGGTAAATCAAAATGTTCATGCAAAATCTGAAGGCCTCTGACGGCGGTTGTCACCAATGTCACGAAACCTCCTTTTTCCATATTTCTCGCCTTTTGAAGAAGATATTGAGGAACAGCTATTGTGTTCTGAAAACTTTGAAGCTGCGTCAGCATTCCCGAGCATTGCCCTGGACTGTTTCCAAACAGCTCCAGAAGACACTCGTCATTCAGAGGAACAGGCCAAAAGAATTTGTGCATTTTTCTCGAGTTTCTGGACTTCGGCAACCAAATGTTTACCATGTCGTGAAAGACACTCTGGAGGTTCCATCGCAAGACGCTCTTGCCGCATCGCTTCCACTGACGCGTTTTCTGGGTTTTAGAACAAGAGTAGCCAAACATGCTTTCAGTCAAAAACGATTTTCTCAGCCATAATCGCTGTGAGAAACCACGACAGAAATGCTATAAAGATCATTGACTAGGGTTTACATACGTTTTGCAATAAATGTTCAAAAATTATCCCTTCCTTATAAGATTTTACAACATGCAGATCGAAATGGCCAAAGACTTCTCCGACAACCTAATATTTGCTCCTGATTCGCACATTAATTCGTCATTACTTTTGTTTATGATTGGTAAATCACGGTTTACGGACTAATTGATTTTCCTCAATGGTCCTGCCGCGATGGCTAGAGCACAGACGATTAGAGAACCCTAGGACTAAGCCTTGGAGAGGAGAGGGACCCGCGAGAGAGCGCAGAGGCGGTTTAAAGGGCTGAGTTCAAGTAGTCCGTCGACCGTAAATCACATTCGCGCAAATCTACATACAGATGTTTATAGGCTCGAGTCAATTATTTAACATCAATGAAGTTCTCCACAGAAGACGTTTGTAAAATCATCAAAGACTTTAGGTGAGGCTTCACATGTAACAGCTAAAACATATCGAACCAAACAATCGAATTCCTCAGATATTGGCTGAACGTAGATGTAAAGACCATGGACTCTCGATTAGGATGGATTCAGCAACAATTTGGATTGACCGGAGATGAAGTTCGGAGCCTTATTCGTAAGGAAGCTCGCATCCTAATGTTTGGCCTAGGGCCGCTGCAAGTGAGTCCCATTAGTTATTGTTTTTGTGTGATCCAGCACAGTGACTTGTTTTTGTATTGTAAACTGTTTCATTGTAATTTTGGCACTATTCAACTATTACGACCCCAAAAACTCAAAATTTTATTTTTCGTCGAAACTTCGCCTATAGGGGTAATTCGATGCCCTGATCACGAAAATGACATTCATTTTTGGCGTTGGCGCCATTTGGCGCCAAGGGTGTTTTCACCAAATTCGCTGTAAACTTGCACATAGGGGTTATTTGGGGTCCTGATCACGAATATACATTCATTTTTGTTTTAGCGCCTGTGTGCGCCTGTTTT